CCTGGACCCACGCAGTCAAGGAGACACGTGCAACTGCTGCACTTTTCTACCTGTAGTAAAGGGGTCACTTCGGCTATTCCTGTAAGCGACTTAACTGCCTTCTTCCTTTTTTGTTGCCTGTTTCATGGCTGTTACACGCATCAAATTCTTCTGGTGGCCAGAATTGCCATGTTGAAGCCAATTTAGGCATTTCCATCAAAGCGTGTTATCTACGAGGAACTCAGCACGCATCCCTCATGTCAGGCAGTCAGCGGGGTTATCGGTACCTGGGCAATGCCTCCAACTTTCTGGGCTGCCTAAACTCCGGTATTTCATTCACCCTATTTTCGACTAACGGCTTCCATCGCTTGGCCATGCCTCTTACCCAACAGAGTGTGATCGTGGAATCTCACCAAAAATGCACTTCAGTTATTTGATCAAGGACACTATAAATGTATTTGGCCATTCGTACTCTAATGAGGGCAGCCATCAATTCCAACCGGGGCAGAGACATTGCCTTCAGCAGGGCAACTCAGGGCTTTGCGAAGATGAGGTTCGAGTTCACCATTTCGCTGTCATCTTGCGTTCGTAGGTACGTGCAGGAACTGTAAGCTTCCGTGCTTGCATCGCAAAATATGTGTAGCTGACGGTTAGCCTCGCAATCTCTCAATATGCAATGAGGAAAGAAACCTGCTTCAAGTAAGCCATATTTGAGCACTAGCCATTCCACTCTGGCTCTAGATCGTCCGGCAGTTGCTCATCCCAGCCAACTGCTCTCTCCAAAGGCGCTGAAAGAGCACTTCAGCTCGTACCACAAAAGGCACTACCAGTCTCCAAGGGTCAAAGATCCTCGGTGATGCCTACAGGACCGCATGTTTTGTGCTAACTCCAATGCATGCTGTGATCAAAACGGGTGCAGCTGATATGAACATCTCGTCTTTATTTGTGTCCACAAAAGCCTCAGTACCTTTTGCGGCTCGTCCGATGCACTGCTTTGCTGGCCGCACAATGTCGTCCTAACTTCTCCTGAACTGGATGACCGACTTTCTTAGGTGCATTCCAGCATCGGTCATTATCTTGTTAGCTTCTAAAGCTATCTTCAACGCCTCATCCTCAGTAGTTGCTCCTGTTACAAAGTAGTCCACATAGAAAGTCTTTGAGTAAGCACGCTGTTTCTTGAAGATCGTCACCCTGGTTTTCAAAGTGGCGAAAGAGAACAGCGTTTAGCAGATACAGGCTCCCCATAGTGCCAAACAGTCCTCTTTGCATTCTCTATTCCTCTATATTTGGAAGGACGTCCGGACTGCTGGGTGCTTCGCTGTACCAAAGGAGTCTTAGTGCATCCCTGTACTCAGGTCGCACGCTGATTTGGAGGAAGGCTTTCTTGATGTCTGCTCCGAGAGCAACCGGGTGTAGGCGAAAACACAGCAGCATGCACACCATGTCGCTAATAAGCTTCGGCCCTTTATCCAAATGTTCACTTAGTGATGACTGTTCTGGTGCGTGAAAAGAAGCGCCAAATACTACGCGAAGTTTCCTTCTCTTTGACGGAGTTCGGATGAGCGGCTGGTGAGGCTTACAGTATAAGTGCTCAGATGCTACTTCACTGTTTACTCTTTCGGCACGCCCTTCGTTCATGTAGCTTCTGATGGCTGTGTCATATTCTTTTACGAGCTCTTTGCTGCAGCACAATCTCTTTGTTAAACTGCTCAGCCGTTTCAAAGCTATTTCTCAGATATCTGCCTAATTGCTGGAAGTTTCTTTCCATAATGGAAGTGACACCTCATAATGGTCACCTTTTTTCTCCACGCTGCTCAGAGTGTAGCTGATGCAGTCGTGCTTTACGTTCTCTTCATTAGTGATTCCAATGGTGTCTAGCTCCCCGAACTTTTGTAGTATAGTGTTCTTTTTGGTATCACTTCCTAGACCAATCTTTAGAACGCAAATATTTGTCGCCATGGTCAGAGAGCTGTTGAGGCTGAACGGACCCTGGAATGTCCAACCAAACTGAGTCGATCGCCGGTAAATCGATGTTGTCCAAGCAGCGGCTGACTTTCCCTGACAACAACTTCTACAAAGAATCTGCTCCAATCAACAGGGCGGTTCCTAGAACCGCTGACATTCCTGGATAAAGGAGCTGGTCAGCGATAAGTTCTCCATAACTCTCGATTTCTTTCACAAAGGCATGCTCAACTGGAACAGATGCCACGTCTTTGCATATGAATGGAACCTCTACAGCCTCAATAGTTGTTTCACTGTCAACGTATTAATTTTCTGATAACGATTGGGAATGGTCCCGTTTTTGCAGCCGTTGTTCCAAAGGTGTTGAGGTGGAAGTCCTTATGCCCCAAAATACGCAGGTTAAGTGTTTTAGAGACGTTTGCTCTAATAAATGTTTTCTGACTGCCACCGTCCAAAACACCACGAATATATCCACGTTGGTTACCGCCCAAGGCCCAAGTGCGAAAAGTTTGCAGAGCGACTTCTTTGTTTGCATGTTTTTCAGCGGCCACATGTACATTAGTAGCGCTAACTTCTTTCACAGCTTCTTGTGGACAATCATTCTTTGCTTTCAATCATTCGGGGTGCCACACATATGTCAATTACCGCATTGCGTGCACTTTGCTTTTTTTGCATTCGTTTTACTAGTGCCCCCACAACTTACAGCGAAAGCAAGGCCCTGCCCGTGCCAATTTGTTTGTCTTTTTTTTCCAACGGGAGGGAGCCGTACAGGACTGCATTTCGTGTTTCGTCGACTTGCAGAGGAAACACCTTCTCGCCTGCACCGGCCTCGTGTTAAGTACCGTGACGCTTGGTGCACGGTTCCGTTTACTTTTTCTCTTAGCTCTGTTCGGCTTTGCTCTCTTTCGTGGAACGGCCTCTTTGTGCACATCTCCCTCTGCTTTCAGTCTCGATGAGAAGAAATTCAAAAATCTTTGTTAGCCTGTTGTCTACACCTGACGCCGATGATGTATATGAATCTTCTAGCGATTGACTTGACGACGCTGTTGTGCTGCGGGCTCGATGTAGTTCTTTGTGGAAATCCACAACCATTTCTTTAGACAGCTCCGAGAGGATGATGTCCCTTAACATTGCCAAATAAGATAACAAGTTTATGCCTAATCCCTTCACTCCACAAATGTAACTTGTACATGATTGTACAAGCGCCGCAGCCTGTGTGCGTCCTCCCTTGAAGCTACACTGGGAAGAACTCTCAACTCTGCAATAGGTCCTTGTTGAATTCGTTCTTTCTCGCCAAATCTTCTCTGCAATATTTCGATGACATCTTCCAAAACAAATTTATTTTCTTCCAACGATGGGATTTGAACCTGTACCTTCATGTTCCGAAAGCGAGTGCCTTTACCACTAGGCTACACACGCATGCTTAGACAGAGGGGCTACACGTACAATACATCTAAACCACATGAATGTGCCTCTTTGTGCAAAACAAAGGCAAAAAGACAACACTTTCTAGTCATACTTTACTGTTTTTATAGATATAGAAATTGCACAAATTATAAAATTACTTCTTTGCAAAAAATTGATGCTAAACTTGAGTATTCATTGTCTTCCTGAGGAGGCTATTACATGTGTTAACGAAGAAGTAAGAGTGAGCATGAGTACGCCATCTAGCGGTTGGTCAGACCCTCTCTTCCTAGGCCGCGAAAAGGCTCCAGTTGTAACTCTTTATATAGTATATTTCTCTATGCTGAGCTGTTCAACACAGGCATTTTCAAGTGCCAATGCCGCCTTGCTGATGATGAAGGTGTTTTGTCGCTGACGGGAGAGTCGCTTCACTTGGAGATTTTCCATTGCCTTTGTCTTTGTCCCTTTTTGCGACATTTATAGACCTCCTTACTTTAGTACTTTTTCCAGTGTTTCGGCCCCATTATGTTATCTATCTTAACACTGATTTAACTAGTTCGAAGTAATTGAGGCCCACACCTGACTAAGGGTATAATGAAAAAAAGTGTATTACATGCACACGTACAAAAGAACACACCTCTTCTTTGAACAAGTTCAATGTTCATACTGCGCCACCTAACCAAAATCTTTCCTTAGAGAGAAGGCAGCACACTCTCTCCTGTCTGGGTTCGCACTCCATGGGGAGTCTGCCTCTCGTGTGTCAACGGTTCCCATTTCATTCGCGGTTTCGAGTTCAGTTGATATCAAGGAAACACACTTTTGTGGATTGTTATATTGTCTGGCTTTTGGTGCTCTCTTAGTTTATTACATGCTGCAGTAAGGAGAAGCTGTTCGTAGAAACTTGTCAGTAATAAAAATATACGTTGCTCTGCCGATCCTGATTAGCGTTGTATGTGATGTGCATTGCATCTGCGATGGCCACTTGGCTGTGTATATATTTAGGGAGACTTCTGAATAATGATTAGTTGTGAGTTAGCGCCTTGTCCTTTCTATCCGGGTTGCTCCCTGTCCTCGTCGATTTTCCACTTCCAAGTAAATCTTGGAAGTGCAAATGTTCATATATACACATGCGACTCTTCAAGCTGCAGTCTGGTGCTGCTCGACCAACAGGAACATGCTAACCAATGCTCCTTACAATCATTTTGATAAAAGTGACATCTGTGCTGTAACTTCTATGTCAATACTATGTCAGCCCTACCCTTCACATGCCAGTGTAGTCACCTGCCTAGTGAAGCAATGGTATGAGCAATACGCACGTTCATACACCTTGTAAGACGCAGCTGAAAGAAAGGCATAAGGTGTTTTTCGGTGATTGCTTCACATGAAACCTGTTCCCACAGTACAAGGAATGGTCAAGAATTTTTTTAGATATTACACTAAATATATTGTTCACGAAGGCATCCCAATTGATCACTGCGCGGTCAGCTCTTGCATATCCGTCGCGAATGTCATCAATGCTTTTCTGATTACGAAGTTCATCAAGATGCTTGTTTCTCTTCAAAAATATAAATCCAAAGACATCAATCCAGAGTGTTACATGCATGTAGCAATCCTACGTGAGGGCACCGACACAACGGCTGTTTCTGGGTACTCACGTGAGTCACTTTTCCAGACATGCCTGAGAATTCCCGGACAATGACATTCACCACGTCTCGCAGCTGAAAAATGCAAAGGCAGTAATCACTGGAATGTAGACATGTTACACACACACGCTTCACTCAAACTAAGTGAGCTATACTTTCATACCATGAATGCAGGAGCAAAATATCATTACAAGTAAATCCTAAGCCACGTTTTTGTCAACATGTATTGAGACAGCAGTATGAACATCTGCTTTACTAATATGAGAGTACATGTAATGTCCAATGAAAGCCCACACAGCACTTGTAGCTGCTTCTTTTTATCCTTCGTTCATTCTACTTCAGCACAAGCCCTATGCCTTTGCAGCAACACTCGTCTGCACCTAAATGCCCAGTCATTGCCAAGCAGATCACTTGGGTCAATTATAAGTTTCGTTATGGTGTCATTTGGCATTGCCAAAGCCGCCAGGCCTCTACTGTCATCCTTGTCCCAAATGAGGAAGGTTCTAAAATCAACTACAGCTAATTCATTCAATTCAATTATCTTTGTTTACCACAATGAAATGAAGAAATATTTTGGATGGGACCGTAGGTTTTAAAAGACACAATAAAGCCCCTTGATGGACCTCAGGAGACAATTCCCATGGCTGCATGTGACAGCATATGTATTTAAAGGTTCACAAAACAATCATACATATACCATGTCCAATAATATTCCAAAAAGATGTACTATCAACTGCAAAGGTTTGAGGGTTGTTGACTCCACAACAAATGTAATTTCTGCTATATTAGGGCCTAATGCTTGCAATCAAGCTGGCGACTGTACAGGTCAGAATGCCAAGTGCAGATGGAACATTTATGTAGAAATTACATTCCCAGACAAAGCAAAAATTTATCTTTATCAGATATTTTCATCCCGTAAACTTTTGCTGCTGATAGTAGTACATCTCCCCTCCTCGTGGATTCTGACAAGTGCTGAAGATTAAGCGAGTTGGTTTCATTGTGCTAGTACTGGTATAGCACATTAGGATAAAGAATGGCTGAACAGACCGACACAAGAGAACAAAATGTTACTGTAATGGGCTATACCCATACAAGCACGGCAAACCAACTCGCCCAATCTTCAACACTTGTGGACTTCATTTCTTGTACATCGAGCTCCCTCGTATTTGCTCCTGCCAATGCACTTTTTATAGCTGAACTTGTCGCCCTCGCCGTGTGTCGTGTGCATTCTTTTGTGTACTACATTCAGGTCAAGCTTCTTCCACCCGATATCAAAGTGCTCCTAGCAGGGTTCACACTATCTACTGGTCAAGAAACATGAATTTGTAAGATTCTTTACACCACATGGCTATGCCAGGCTTGCTTCTACAAGGATGCTTTGCACCTCAAGCTCAATACTGTTGACATTTTTGATGCCGAGAAAAAGTGGTAAGAAATGTCCGCCTTCATTTACCGAAAAGTGAATTACTTCTGGCAGCATATGCTCTTCCACCTTTGTGCCAAGGCACCGAAGAAGGAGACTGTGACGAGCAACTTTGTACACACATTGGGTGGTGTTGCGCTCCCTGAACCAGCTAGATGTGTGCTGTGCCGTGGACCCAAGTTTGCAACGGAACCGGGCAATTCGCCTATGGCCTGCTCACCTATGCCAGGCAAGTGGCTCGACAGATTCCTGAGGGTGAAAGGGACAGATGTGTGGCTAATGATGTTGATGTGATTTTGTAGTGTAACCAGTTAGGAAAATCATGAAATACTTCAGAGACAATTCGCTTGCCTTATTAGTACCTTCCGATAAAAGGAGAGGTTTTGCCATTTTCCCTAACCATTTATTGAGAAAGTAACCATCACCGTTCATCCTGTCCTTAGAGCTGAGGAGGCCACCTCCCTCTGCAAAGTTTAATCCCAGACAAGAAAGCTGTGCACCACCTTGGGTTTGGGTAAACTTGCCAAAGCAGTAGATCAGGGCAAGAAGCTTGGCCTAGACATGTTTTTTAACGGCACACAAGGTCGATTGCCCCCCTGCGGGTAATTGTGACAAAGAGGAACATGGCAAAAAACTATGGCATTATTCCTGCAAGAAAAGCCGAACTTGCTCACTACTGATTACCCATATATAATAAGGAATCGGACAGTTTGGTTAATTTTCTTGAACAGAATGACAGGGGCTTAAAACCATTCTCAGTTGATATCAAAGATCTTTATTACTCTTTGTCGCATGGGAAGTTGTTATAGTGTGTTCATGATGCCACTGACCCTTACGGTGCTTTTATAGCCTTCCAGAACCTCCCGGGTGTCCATTACAATAGCCTCTTAGAGCTGCTGTTCTTTTATAACAAGTCGACATTTGCATCTTTCAATGTTAGGACTTAGATACAGAGTAGTGGTGTCTGCATCGGGTCATGCCTCACCCCAATCCTCAGTGACATATACCTTGCATGTCATGACTGTTTACTGATGAGCATGCTTGACCAAATTATTGTCGTAAAAGAATGTCGTTATATAAACGAGTTTCTGGTGTTTACTGATTGCAATGACGCGGTCTGCCAGCACCCAACCAATGATATTGTGAAGACTCTTATGATATTGAGAAGACTCTTAATATTTCAAACAGCTTGTATTGACTCGTAACATGCCAGTTGACAATAGCCTAGCTTTTTATATTTAAACATGATTTTTACCCTTGACAATGTGTGCTGGCTACATAAACCTAAAACTGGAAAACCTCTTTTACCCTATGATTCTTCCCATTCTAAGTTAGTCAAGGAAAGTATCAGTAACCTTTATTTTATAAACTCCCTTTCAAAATCATGTAATCACGTTATTCAGCGTAGCTTTGTAGCTAAAGCTAAACGGCTTTTCAGTGCTGGGTATCCAGCAATCCTGCTATCATCTATACCTGAAAAGCTATCAAAATCGATCAAGAAAGACTGCAACTTTCAGGCTTAGCCAGAATCTAATGACCATAAAAGGCCTGTAGTTGTACCGTATGTGCATAGGGTAATATTTCCCACCGGCTAAAAAAGACAGACAAGAAAGGTAACGTAAAAGTAGTATTTTTGGGGCCGGGCAAGTTTCAGTAAGTTTTTTGCAAAGCAGTCAACCCCCTCAAATCACATGGCACTCTATGAAGCATAAAATGTGGTTTGTGCCATGTGGAACTGGTGTTTTTTACTTAATACCACTCTCAAATGATAAGAGGTATATTGGCCAAACAGGCCGCTGCATCAATGAAAGGCTGAAAGAGCACCATTACAATGCACACGAAGCAATTCAGGGACATAATTGAATTCACTGCTTCAATTGTGGATGTTCCACTTTCTTTGACATATGTGAACTGGTAAGAAAGCGCCCGTCAAAAACCACTCGGGAAATCATTGAAGCACACTGCTTAGCAAGAGCTGGCATCAGATGTATCATGCCCCTTCGTTGGCTTTATCTGAACATGCAGTTTCCTTTCAGGTAAACCACCCATGAATCTTTCCTATGTGACGTTGCGATAGTGGTGTGTAATCTTGCCAATATTTTCGGGTGTTCATTGTATGCTTGCACAAGTGTGCATATTTGATGCCATTTGTGAATAAAGCTTCGTAGGAAGTTTGTGCTCTGTCCCCTTGTGTCGGTCCACTCGGCCATTTATTCTTTATCGTATTGCGCTATACCAGCACAATATTCTGACAACCTATAAAAAAAGGTATGTAAACATCAAGGCAAGGCATATCCCAACCATAATGACACACTGCTTCAGTTATCATAGATGTGTTAATACTAAATGAAACTGACATTTTCTTACAACTTTGGAAGGTGCATTCAATGCAAAAAAGTCACAGTTTCGGCACAAGGTCGAAGCAATGAATGTGATAGCAACACATCGGGCTGTTATACGAACTAAGGCTAGGAGATTTAGGAACCATACGAAATGTAGTGAACATGGTCGATTGTGTTTAAAAAGAAAATAATGCAGTGACCACTATATCTAAACAGGTGTTTTGTTGTGAATAGTTGGCTGCATGACGTCTGACTGGAGGTGAAATATAAGTTCGGCGTTGTCAGAGATTACGGGCAGCTGCGGGCAATGGAATGAGACAAGACTCGGTTAACAAGAAAACCCATTTAATACACACCCACGGCACACTAAAGATATATAAAAATGTAATAAACAAATACTAGTAATAACTACAATTGAAATAACAACTAACCTATAAACAAACCACCATACAGCAAAAAACTGTCCTAAATATTGTCCGGCAACTCTATAGCCTTAATGCTTCTTCTCAATTTTGTGATAGCAGATGTGCTTCTTGTCACTGTCCCAATGTATCATGTCGGGTACCTGTCGGGGTTCTTTGAGATCTTGATGAAAGTCGTCGTCCATGCCACTGCCAATGTGGTCGCCCGTAGTCGTCATCACCTTATGTCGTTGCTGACGTGAAGGCTTCCGAGGTTAGGCCTAGTGGCGGCAGGCGATACCTGGTGCTGCACACTGACGTGGCCACCCGGGACTGTCTTTGCCGGTTAGCTTTGAAGAGGGCTTGAGCCAGGAACATTGGTGCTTGCTGTGCGTGGCTGCTGCATCCCGAGCAACCTCCCTCGAAGCATGTGGAGGTGTCCGTCTACTGCTCGGGACACCCGTGGCACAGGTTGCCGAGTCGATGCCCTGCCACTCTGGTTGCCAGTGCGTTTGCTGAGGATGTAACCTTCTACGAAGCCCACGTCGACAATGCAAGCTCGTCAATGCTCGCGCAGTTCGGGTCACGCGACTCAAGCCTTGCGGTACGGTGTGCGGGCTCGTGCCATTTCGAATTTTGTTCGCTCCTCCTTGTCTTCTTTCTTCCTATGGGCTCATGCTCGTGACAGGCATCAAGAAACTCGACAAGCCACTGGTTTTCCTGTAAATTACATTAACGTTGAAGTCTACAGTGACTATCACTGGCATATCTTGTAGCACACTACATGTAAGTTGTGCAGCAAGAAGTTCACTGCCATCAAAAACCTCACGGTCACTTAGCAAGATTCCTGGTGAAATATACACTGTTGAGATGACTAACCTGGGCAATGTTTTAAAGGAGCAATCGTCC